CTAGAGTCACAGTTTGTGGTTGAAGACCAACAAAGAATGTTCTAAAACTTTGACAGCCTGTCCGTTGGAGAGGTTGGCAGATTTGCTGGCAACTGGTCCTTTTCATAGTTGGCAAATAGTTGAAACTGTTGAACATTGTGCCCTTATCATAGTCTGTTTTCTTCCTTCCTTCCTGAAAATGAGTGGTTACTCAACTCTCATTTACCAGATTCATTGCCATGGTGACTGTTTAATACTGTAGTTGGCATTAATAATAATATATAGTACTTTATGGTTTATTAAATGAATAGAACATGATAGACTAACTACATTTTCTTTTCTGATAGGGTTACTAAACTTATCAGATTAGGGGAATGTTAGAAATACAGTTTACTGGATATCAGCAAAGCTTTACAATGTCATTCTGTGAAGATGGAGATATAGATTACATGATAATATAGTGAGAGCACTGGAGTGGAGTTTGGAAGGCCTGCGTTTGAATATTGCCTTGGATGTATACTTGCTGTGTGACCCTGAGCAAGCTACTTAACCCTCTCAGTGACTTTAGGCTACTCTCTAAGACTAAGTTGTAGTGAAGGTGCCAACCAATCTTGGTAGAGAGCACTTCCTCACCAGGACTTCCCTACATCACTGAATCACAGGTTCATTTCTTATCCCTCTTTCCCAGGTGAAGGCACAGGGGGTATGCTTATCAAAGTGATTTGAATCAGAGAGGGACAACCAGAACTTGGAATAACTGAGTCAGGATTCAAAAAGATCTTGACAGGCTAATACAATGGGTAGAATACACTAAAATGAAAGTTAATAAGCATAATCAAACTACAAATCAACTGTATGAGTGATGGGGTGGGGGAGAGGGAGGAGGAGGAAGTTGGCATTCAGGCAGTAGTTTCTATGAAAAAACAGGGTTTTAGTGAACTACAAGATCAATAGGAATTAGGAATGTGGAATGGTAGTGAAAAAAGCTAAAGTGATTTTAAGCTATATTCAAAGAATGAAGATGTTAGTACCTACAAATTGTATTGGTTCTGAGTTCTGCATTTTATTTTTTAAATTAATTTATTTATTTTCAGTTTTCAACATTTACTTCCACAAGATTTTGATTTCCAAACTTTCTCCCCATCTCTGCTCTCCCCCTATATCAAGACTTCAAATTACCCTTTCCCCCAATCTGCCCTCCCTTCTTTTGCAACCCCCCCTTCTCTTATCCCCTTTCCTTTCTGTTTTTCTGTAGGTTAAGACAGATTTCTATACCCCATTGCCTGTGTATCTTATTTCCCAGTTGCATGTAAAAACAATTTTTAGCATTCGTTTTTAAAATGAGTTCTGTATTTTTACGTGCATATTTGATGATCTGAATTGTGTCTAAAGGAGATCAACCAGAGTGGTGAGGGGATTAGAGAGTATGGCATACATAGATCAAAGAACTAATGATGTTTAGCCTAAAGAAGAAAAGATTTAGAGGTATATAATGCTGTCTTGAGCTGTTTGGAGGTTTCTTACTGTATGGGAGAGGGACTAGACTTGTTCAGCTTGGTCTCAGGAGGAATGGATTATACAGCTGCAGAGAGGCCAGTTTATGCTGAATGCAAAGAAAATTTCCTTCCAGTAGAGCTGCTCCAAAATGGAATGTGCTGCCTTGAGAGACTGTAGGTTCTCAGCCATTGGGGATCTTCCAGCAAAGGCTGGCTGGATGATCTCTTATTAGAGATTTTGGCAAATGAGTCTCTCATTCAGGTATAGATTGAACTAGATGTCCTCCGAAATCCTTCTGAGATTCTGTGATTTTCTTACAGCAACTGTAGGATTTGGTTAGGGCAGACATTGTTAACCCCCTTTTCTGAGGAAACAGGATCCCAAAAGATATATGACTTGTACATAATCCAGTGGCTCACAAATGGCAGAGCTTGGGCTCATAGACAAGTTTTCTTATACTGACTTCAGTGCTTTTTTTCTACTACACCACATTGTCCTTTCAATTTTATTTTTTCAGTTGCTGAATAAAATTGTCCCCGACGAGGATTTGAGGGTATATTAGTAAGGCTCTATTCCAAAAGGCCAGTGTATTTCCCTAATGCTTGTGAGTGATCTTACTGGGCTACACTCCCACCCTGTGGCTCTGTTTGGGATTACTGGGATGCCATAGTGCCTTACTCATATTGATTTTTTACTTGGGTCTCAAAAAGGTGGATCAATGATGGTAAGAGTTCTTCCTTACTCCTCAACCCCCCACCCTTGGCCCTTGATTTAGATCTAAATAAGAACTTTTGTACCAGAGGGGAAACTGCATATGTATAATTTTATTACTATCAAACTAATGGCTAAAGCCTCTGAGAAACTGAGAGTGATTTCAGAGACATAATAATACTTGAATCTCAACACTAGGGATTCCCTTTGGAGCTGTGGTATAGAAGCATGCAAAGGTGGGGAACATCTTTTCATTCAGGGGTCCATAACTTACGAAAGAAATTAATTCAATACTAGATTCTAGTCAAAAATCAACTTAGGTATTTAAGATGGAGCTATGATTTTGTCAATGTTAAGTATTCCCTTTACCAACCAAATACCTCTAGTATCTCATCCTGTGTGATTTTTGTCTGTATTTTCCCATAAATTCATCATGAATGATCTATCTAACGCTTCCCCTCATTCTCACTACTGTTACTGACCCACTTCCTTTGTCCACAAGTAAATATAAAATAGATATAAACTTAGCTCCCTGGCTTCATTCCCCATCTTCCAATTTAACATGGCTAGTTAATGGATAGAGCACCAGCCTTGAATTCAGGAGGACCTGAGTTCAGATCCGGCCTCAGACACATAACACTTACTAGCTGCATGACTCTGGGCAAGTCACTTAACCCCAGCTGCCTCACAAAAACAACCAAACAAACAAACCCGTGGCTAGTTAGCCCTCCTTCAACTTGGAGCCTTAGAGAGCTGCCTGGAATACTGAGAGATTTGCTTAGCATCATAAAGCCAGCATGTATCATGAGTAAACCTTGAACCCATGTTGTTCTGGTTTTTGAATACCACTCTCTTTCTGTCTCTCATGCCCCACTGCTGTTTACTAAAAGTGCTCTTTATTTATATACTAAAACTATGTTTTATTCAACACATCTTTTGAGTGCTATGTGTTAAGTGTTCTGTGCACTGTGGGAGATTCAAAGAAGAATAAAATATGATACCTTGTCTGGAAGGAAAACTAAGGTATAGACAAATAATTGGTAGAAAGTAAAAGTTCAGTAGGAGTGGTGCAAAGTAAAAAATGCTTTGTGTACTCAAAGGAGGGAGAGAGTACTTCTGGCTGGTGGCTCAGGGAAGGCTTCATTAAGGAGGTATTTGAGAAAAGGTAGAAATGAGGCAGGGGTTCATTCCTCACTGCTAGGTGGCGCCATAGTGCATAGAGCCCTAGCCCTGAGGTCAGGAAGACTCATCTTCCTGAATTCAAATGTGGCCTTAGATACTTCCTAGCTGTGTGACCTTGGGCAAGTCACTTAACCCTGTTTGCCTCAGTTCCTCGTCTGTAAAATGACCTAGAGAAGTGGCAAATAACTCCAGTATCTTTGCCAAGAAAACCCCAAATGGGGTCACGAAGAGTTGGCTATGACTGAAATTATCAAACAACAACGAGAAGGAATGAGACAACTGGAGCCTAGAAAAGGCAGGAACATTACAAGCAGAGATGGGGACATGCACAGTGTTTTGGGGGAGGGTAGTTTTGAGTCTGGTTGGGGAAGCTGGGTGCAGTTTACGAGGGTCCTCAGATGTCAGGCTAAAGAGTTTGGACTTTATTCTGTGGGCAACAGGGAATCATTGAAGGTTTTTAAGTTTAGGAGTGACAGTTAAGAAAGCAAAAGGTTGGGTTAACCCTTGTTTTTTTGACCGTCCCCCCAAATATACCTGAGGCTGCTACTACCCTTCCTTACTCCACATTGTTCCAGTGCCCCCCAGGGAGTGGAATCGCGGGCTTTGGGAACCTGTGCAAAGTGATCCACCTCCTTAGTAGTTTAGCTTTGTATATTTCTGTACATTGCCACTTCTCTTCACCAGGCAGAAGCATTCTCCTCCTTTTCTGTTTCAGAACCCCTGGACTCCCTCTTCCTCCTCACATCTAAAGAAAGCCCCCTGAAGCCCTGAGCTGGTTAGTAGAACAGCAGTGCCCTGAGCTCAGTATCCGTCAGCCCCACACTTACATCACCAGCTCCACCCACTTCCTACGATACTTTCTGGTAGTATATCATCCCAGGTTTCTGGAACCCCAGGAAACTGGGGCTGAGCCTATCTCCATAAGGGTTTTCCAAAATCCTTTCATTCTGGCTTTATCATACAAAAATGCTTCCAACATATGTCCTGGGTAACCCAAACAAAATTACTGGTAAAAAGGAGGAGGATCTTATTTTGTTTCAGGTGCATTCATATGTTATGTGCGGTCTAAAACTGGAGCTCTGGGTTTTACACAGACCACGTTCATTCTTCAGATCCTCTCCTACATCTTATTTTAGCTCATTCCTCCACCCAGTGTTTCCCTAGGGAACATCTGGATCTTTATGGCAAAAAGGAAAAGACCCTTCGATTTTGTGCAAGCACTAGGCTAACAATATATCAGATATAGGACAGGTTTTATTTAACCCAGCAAACACAAAACAAAGGGTCATACCTAAGCTTGTGAATTGTCAAAACACCTCCGCATCCCTCTCTGGCAGATCTTTACCTTCCTCAGGGACTTCTACAGTCCTGCCCTGAGGGTGAGTGCCTCTGCAAAGGGATAACACTTACAGGTGCAAAGGAATGGAACATCCCCCTTCTGCTAGTGAGCCCCACCTTCCCAGCCTCTTCCATAATCCTCCACTTATAAGAACTGCCGGAGAGTTGAGGTTGCCCCACCTGGAGAAGGTGCTTGGTTAAAGTCACTAGAGAGCCAACCCTTTTCTTACAGACCTACACGGTTTCCGATTCAGACTACCATTTGAGGTTTACTTTTCTCTGTCTTGGTTTAGTCCCTTGCTGCTCCTTGACTCCAGTTTCATTCAGTTCAGCAGCTCTTCCAAGTGCTACAGGCAGTCACCATCATCCAGGAACTTCTCCTTTGAGCTCAGGAGACTTGGTCCAGGAAAGCCTCCATCTCTTTACCATTGCACTGCCCTGCTGCCAACTTGTGGCCTGGCCTGAGAACTTATTTGCTGTCTTCCACCTCCGTGAGTTCCCTGTTGCATCTAATTCCCTAGAGGGAATGAGGGACCTGTCTATAGGCTTCTTTGCAGGGAACTGGATGCTTTGTATCCTGCCAGCTTCTCTCTGTGTCAGGTCTTACTTTTTAAAGGCCAGATACAGGAAGACACATATACATATGTATGTATATATACATATACACCTCTATAAGTATAGATATATACATATGTACGCATACATATATGCTTGTGGAAAGAGAGTGTGTGTGTCTAGATACTTAGAAACTAGCATTGACTCAATCTAGCTCTTCATGTGGCATCACTGGGCCAACTAGTACCCACAGTAAGGCAGGCATGTCTAAGGCATGTGGTGGGTGCTAGCTCACCCACTGACACCATGTTAAAGACTGTTTAGGTTATTGCCAGTGAATATTTCCTGCCTGTAATCGAGAGTGTTTTAATATCTTAATGCTCCTGTTATATTCCTTTGACAAAATTAACAGAGTTTGCCTTGTCTTGTTAGCAAGGAGTTAGAAAATGTTGAATTCTTTTTTTAAATTAATTTATTTTGATTTATCAGCAATCACTTCCATAAGCTTTTGAGTTTTATATTTTTCTCCCCCTCCCTCCCCACCTCCCTCACCAAGATGGCACTCAATCTGATATAGACTATATATATATGTGTGTGTGTGTGTATGTGTGTGTGTGTGTGTACATTCCTATTTAAACGTATTTTCACATTAGTGATGTTATAAGTAAAAATTAGAACCAATAGGAGGGACCACAAGAAAGAGGAAATAAAACACAACAGAAGAAAAAAATAGCAGATAGTATGCTTTGATCACATTCAAGCTCTGTAATTCTTTCTTTGGATGTGGATAGCATTTTCCATCATGAGACCTTTGGAGATGTCTTAGATCCTTGCATTGCTGAGACGGGTTAAGTCTATCAATATTAGTCATCACGCAAAGTGGCTGTTACTGTGTACAATGTTCTCTTGGTTCTGCCCACTTCACTCAGCATCAGACCATACAAGTCTTTCCAGGTTTTTCTGAAGTCAGCCTGTTCATCATTTCTTATAGCACAATAGTATTCCATTACATTCATATACTACAACTTGTTTAGCCATTCTTCAGCTGATGGGCATCCTCTTAATTTCCAGTTCTTTGCCACCACAAAAAGAGCTGCTATAAATATTTTTGTACATGTGGGTGGGTCCTTTTCCCATTTGTATGATCTCGTTGGGATACAGCCCTAGAAGTGCTATTGCTGGGTCAAAGGGTATGTACAGAAAATGTTAAATTCTTGAAAGAGCACTATCTCTGAAGTCACAAGACCTGAGTTCAGTTCTGGCCCTGCCATTTGCTCAGTCTTTCTGAGATTCAGTTTCCTTATCTACAAAATAAATAAGATGTTGCTGATAATCTGCTTTACTTAGTTGTGAGGATCACGTGAGATGACATGTAAATGCTTTCTAAATTGTAAAATGATATACTTACACACTTATGGAAACTTATGGAAAGAGCCCTGGTTTTGAAGACTGAGTACCTGAATTTGAATCTTGGCTCTGGTGCTTATTTTCTGCTACCTTCTCTGGGCCTTAGTTTCCATATGTATAGCTCTAAACCATATTAATAATTCAAATGATGTCAGAAATATCAGAAAATAAGATAAGCAGCCCAGGATGGAAGGAAAATAGAATAAGGCAAGACATAAGGTTGGGTATAGGTTTGTCCTGTCATTCTAAGAACCTAGATGGAAAGATAGGGTATAGAAGACAGATCTGTTCCTGGCCTCTGGAATTCCTAGAAGCTGGGAACCATAGTTACAGTAAATATAGTTTACAAACTGCAGATCAGGATGTATGGTCTGGCAAAGGTTATTAGGCTTTTTAAGACTTTTTTTTCCCCTTAAAGTTGAAGCTGCAGAAGTTGGAGCCAAGATGGCAGAGAAAATGCAGGGACTTCCCTGAGCTATCTCCCGAACCCCTCCAAACACCTTTAAATAATGCTCTAAAACAAATTCTGGAGTGCCAGAACCCACAAAAGGACGGGTGAAAGAATTTTCTAACCCAAGATAACTTAGAAAGTTGGCAGGAAAGGTCTATCTCACCTGGGCTAGAGTGTAGTGCAGTCCAGTGCAGGCTGTGCCAGGGCAGCCTGGGCCCCAGCAAACCAGAAGCAGCAGGTCTTGGGAGCAACTGAATCAACAGCAGCAGCAGTAGCAGTGGCTGCTTCTGGAGCTCTCAGCCCACAGATGGTAAGGAGGGGTCCCTTTGCTGGCAGTAGGGGCAGGACTCTGTTGCTTTGCCCATATTCAGATCCGAGTTATAGTCCTGGCTGGCAGTCCCAGGGCAAGGAAGAGCAGTAGCACACCAGAGTTTGCAGCTACAGTGGAGCAGGGACCTTGGTCACAGTTCCTGGGCAGCAAAAAGTGCTTGTGGTCTCTCCCAGACCAGAGCACAGGCCAGGAGAATAGTAAACACATCCATCCTTAATCATAGTACCTTTGAAGAACTGAAAACTTACAGGTCCCTAGAAGTATTTCTGAAAACAGCTGCACAAGACCCTGAAACGTGGGACAATGCGCCCTCCACCCTGGATGCAGAGCCCCAGGTTAAAGAGTTAAAAGTCAAGAAATAGTCTGGAAAAATGAGCAAAGAACAGAAAAAAATTCTGACTATAGAAAGTTACTGTTGTAACAAGGAAGATTAAAATACACGCTCAGAAGAAGACAACGAAGTCAAAACTCCTACATCCAAAGCCTCAAAAAGAAAAAAAAAGAATTTGTCTCAGGGTGCGGGAGGGCTCAAAAAGGGTTTTTAAAAATCAAGAGAGGTAGATGAAAAATTGGGAAAAGAAATTAAAGTAATGCAAGAAAATCATGATAAGAGAATCAACAGCTTGGTAGAAGAGGCACAAAAATCCAAAGAAGAGAACTTAAAAAATAGAACTGGCCAAATGGAAAAGGAGGTACAAAAGTCACTGAAGAAAATAATTCCTTAAAAATTAGAATTGAGGAGGCGCAGCTAGGTGGCACAGTGGATAGAGCTCCAGCCTTGGGGTCAGGAGATCCTTGAGTCCAAATCTGTCCTCAGACACTTGATGCTTTGACACTTACTTAGCTGTGTGACCCTGGGCAAGTCACTTAACCCCAATTGCTTCACCAAAAAGGCAAAAAAAAAATTGGAATGGAGCAAGTGGAAGCTAAAGACTCTATGAAACATCAAGAAACAATCAAACAAAACCAAAAGAATGAGAAACAAACAAACAAAATCAAAAAAGAGAAGACAATGTGAAATATCTTATTGGAAAAACAGCTGACCTGGAAGAGAGACCCAGGAGAGATAATTTTAAAATTATTAGACTTCCTGAAAACCATGATCAAGAAGAGACATCATGTTTCAAGAAATTATCAAGGAAAAGTGTCTTGATATTTTAGAACCAGAAGGTAAAATAGAAATGGAAATAATCCATCCATCACCTCCTGAAAGAGATCCCAAAATGAAAACTCTCAGGAATATTATAGCCAAATTCCAGAGCTCCCAGGTCAAGGAGAAAATATTACAAGCATCCAGAAAGAAACAATTCAAGTATCATGGAGCCATAGTCAGGATAACACAGGATTTAGCAGCTTATACATGAAAGGATCTGAGGGCTTAGAATATGATATTCCAGAGGACAAAGGAGGTAGGATTACAACTAAGAATCACCTACCCAGCAAAACTGAGTATGTTATCCTTCAGGGGTAAAAATGGCTATTTGATGAAATAGAGGACTTTCAGGCATTCCTGATGAAAAGACCTTGAATTTCTATCTCCCTGCTTCAGAACCTAGGAGGCCACAAATGTTGAGCCATGCCCTTTGAATGATCATCCAAGGACAGAGCGTCAGCCTGCCATTTAAATAATCTTATGCTGCTAATTTACATCTAAGAGTTTCCATTTGGTAAATGTTATAACTTGATAGAATATTGTCTGTCTGAAATTGCTGACGCGCATTTCTCAAAAAAAGTTTCTTGAATCCTTATCTCAAAGGGATCAAAAACTTTTCCCCAAAACTTTTAATTGTTTTACAATACATTTCTGCAGACTTGGGAACTAAGATTTCCTTCCTTCTTATCTTTGTTTCTTGTGTGCCTCCCCAGTTTGACTAGAGTGAATGAGAGGGGGAGAAAGAGAGAGGGAGAGACTTTTTGAAGATTATGAAAAGTTTTCACATTTTCCACTCTTTTTCTGTTGGCTCATCAGGCCATGGGAAAAAGTTTGATTTGTCAAGACACAAAACATCTACCATTTTTTCTGATTTTTCCCTACAAAGTGGTTGCTTAGGAGTGCCATGGTCTGCTCTCTCTCTTTCTCTCTTTTACGTTATGTCTCTGTTGAGGCCTTCCTAGAGCTCTATCCTTAGTCATCACCTTCTGAATGGAAAGCTTCCCCTGTCCTCAGTCCAATAACAACTTCCTTATGGGGATGTGCATCCCTTGTCGGGTACCTCTCACCTCTAAGGAGGTACTGTCTGGATATGCTTCAGGGGGACATGGAAGTCCAGGAATGGGCAATCCTGTGGCTGAGGAAGTCCATTGATAGAAATCTTACCAGAGTACCCTCAGATGTTCCTTCGACAAAGGTCTGGCCATCACATAGATACTCAAAGCCTCAATTCCTTCATGGTTGCCATAAGTGCTATGGTGAAATAAAGAAACCAAGTAGTTACATCGAGACATTGATTTATTTAGCAACGCATACAGTTGCAGAAATAAACTGAGACCGAGGCTCTTAGTAGCCTAGGACCCAGAACCTTGGTTTCTATATAGTTAATATACAATTTCCTTCCGTTTTCTCACATAAAATGTTAATTGACACTCTTCTCTCTTTTCTCTTTTTGAACATCACTATCTCTAGTTCTCTTCTAGGAAAAAAAAAAAGCCCTCTCTTACAACAAGTAGGCATAGTCGTCCAAAACAAACCCACTGATTTTCCTTGTCTCATTCTGTACCTCTAGGCCATGCCTTTTTTGTGAAATATTGGGAAAATTATGGTTTTTCACTGGGTTTCTGTATGGATAGTTGTTTTTCCAAAATAGAAGCATAGCTTGTAAATGTCTTGCTAATTAGGACAAGGGTTCTTAACTGTCATGGACTGTCTTGACAATTTAGTGAAACCTATGTTTGCCTCAATAATGTTTTTAAATTATTGAAAGAAATGCTAAATTTCAGTTATTATTTAGTGAAAATAAAGATATAATTTTTTCCTATATCCAGCTTCACAGACCTCCTGATATTTAAACCCTTGGTTAAGAATCTCTACCTTGTGAGGGGATGCCCATCAATTGGGGAATGGCTGAAAAGTTGTGGCATATAATTGTGATGGAATACAATTGGGTTATAAGAAATGATTAGCAGGATGGTTTCACAAAAACCTGGGAAGACTCACATGAACCGACTGATGCAAAGTGAACTGAGCAGAACCAGGATAAAATTGTACACAGCAACAGCAATATTGTTTGATGATCAGCTGTGAATGACTTAGCTGTTCTCAGCAATACAGTGATCCAAGAGAATTCCAAAGGACTTAGGATGAAAAATGTTCTCCACCTCCAGAGAAAGAACTGATGGAATCTGAGTACAGATTGAAGCATATTTTTTTCATTTTACTTATTTTTTGCAACATGGCCAATATGAAAATATGTTTTGCATGATTTCACATGTATAATTGATACACATTTCTTGCCTTTGCAATGGGTAGGGGGGCAGGGAGGGGAGAGAATTTGAAACTCAAAAAATTTTTTAAAAAGAATGCTAAAAATAAATAATAAATTTTAAAAGATGCTTTTAAAAAAAGAAATGATAAAGTGGATGGTTTGAAAAAACCTAGAAGACAAATGAATTGATCCAAAGTGAAGTAAACAGAACCAGTAGAATGTTGAACAGCAATATTGTCATGAAAATCAACTAGGAAAGAGTTAGCTACTCTGATCAATACATGACAATTCCAGGGGACTGATGATAAAAAATGCTATTCATATACAGAGAGAACTGATGAACTCTTGAATGTAGATTGAAGCATATTTTTTTCACCTTATTTTTCTTGCTTTTTTCTACCAGGGTGGGAGGAGGGAGAGCAATATGGTTAATGTGGAAAAATGTTTTAGATGACTTCCTATGTAAAATGGGTATCATACTTCTTGCCTTCTCAATGGCAGTGGAAGGGTGGAGGGAAGGAGACAGTTTGGAGCTGAAAATAAAAATTAAAAGAAAAAAGATAATACAAAGAATGGGGAAAAAAGTACACCTGCCTTAGGGCATGTTTCATTATTAACAGTAGTGGATATAAATCCATATTATAATTTAAAACTTTTTTGGCTGTCTTCTCAGATTTGATCAAATCAGAATTTATTTTTCTTACTTTGTAATGTGGTTAATGAAGAGTTCATACTGACTAGAGCAAGTGTCAGCTCTGCTACTTTCTTGTATATTTATACTTGTTATATTATCCTCAATCTGAGGTCTCTTTGCAGGAATTTTTTAAAGCTACTTGGCTATTTTATGAGGATTAGTTTAATTAAAACTAGATAATATTCATAAATCATCTTAATTGGGCATACAAGAATTACAGTATATCACAATACACAGAAAGTGCTTGAATAAGTGATGACGTCACTATTAACCCCTCTTCTGTGTTGTGGAACTCTCAGAATTCCATAATGATTGTGACACTTGACTATCTGACATACGGTGAGGGCGCAAGTATCAATTCACATAATACATTTTAGAAAAAATTAATTTCTTAGTTATTTTTAGCAAAAAAATTTATATGGACATTTTAATATTTTCTTCTATCACCTTGATGGATTGTTTTGTTTGTCCTCAGGAGTGCACACTCCTTTGTAAGAGAGCACTAGTCGAATTCTTTCATTTTACTTTTTCCACATGCCCACCTTATCTTCCTTCAAGGTTCCGCTCAGGTTCTTA